TGGGGATGGGGACTTAGTCTTCCGCTGGTGTGGAACCGCTGGTGTGGAACCGGGAGTGAACGCAGCACGTGTCTGGCTGTGCCCCAGCTGCTGTGTGACCCCAAAGCTCTCCTCACCCTTTCTGAGCTGCTGAACATCGTAGGTGGGACAAAATAGACTTGGGGGCCCTCAAGAATGTGTGAAGACGTGGTTCTGTACCTAGGCTCTGCCATGCCATTCTAGGGGCTCTAGTGATCCTCTCAGAGCTTCCGTAGCTACCTGCGCAACAGGAGCGCACCACACTTGTGGTTAACAGGGCGGCAGGCTCCTGTCTCCTGGCCGCTGTGGGTTCAGGTAGGCAGAGCCCTATTTCTTACCTGGCAATTGGGCTCGAGGGGGCCTGCCCAGGCTCTCCTCTCGCTCTCCTGCAGGTGTAAGAGTGCCTGTTAAGTGTTTGGAGTGGACTCACAGGCTCCTCAGAAGCAGCCTTTGAGTCCTGGTTCCCGGAAAGTGGATTTGGGACTAAGCGGAGACCAGGAAAATCTGACAGCCCTGGCAGCCGTGATGGTCAGCGTTCCGGAGGCGCTGTGCCCTCCATGCCTGACCCTCTCTGGGCTTGGGGTGGGGGCAGGGGCAGGGACCATTGTGCAATGAGTCATTTACCCAGCTCTAGGAGGCTCTGTCACCTCTAGGTCTGTGCCTAGGCACTTTAAACTCTTTCATCAGGTTTCCAGCAAGCAGTGCTTTTCAAGTCATTGGAAGGCTATAGGTGTGTGTAAGGTGTACAGTCATGTGTGTGAGGGTATAGGTGTGTGTGTAAGAGGTATAGGTGTGTGTAAGGGGGTTTAGGCATGTGTGTAAGGGTTATAGGTTTGTGTGTAAGGAGTATAGATTTGTGTGTAAGGTGTATATGTTTAAGGAGTATGTATGTGTAAGGGGTATAGGTGTGTGTAAAGGGTATGGGCATGTATGTGAGGGTTATAAGTTTGTGTGTAAGGGGGTATAGATGTGTGTGTGAGGAGTATAGGTGTGTGTAAGGTGAGGCGTATAGGTGTGTGTAAGGTGAGGCGTATAGGTGTGTGTAAGGTGAGGAGTATAGGTGTGGGTAAGGTGAGGCGTATAGGTGTGTTTTCTGATCCTCTGCCATCTACACCAGTTTGGGCAACAAACTTCAGGCAGATTCCAACCTCAGGTCTGGTAGAAGTTAGTGTCCTTCTTACCTATAGGCAGGACTGGGACACCAAAAGAGATCTGTGTTCGAAAGATCGCAGGTGTCCTTACAAGCATACGGACTGGGATGGAGTGTCCTGGTCCATGTGTGATTCGAAGACTTCCCGGGCTTTTGTCCAAACTTCGGTTTCTTTTCTTTTGTTTTCTTTCTTTCTTTTTGAGACATCTCACCATGTAGCTCCAGCTGGCCTCAAACTCACAGAGATCAGTCTGACTCTGCCCCCCAACCCCTCCAGTTAATGGCATGAGGCACCATGCCTAGCCTTACACTTCATTTCTTGCTGGTGGGTGTGTTTAAACTGTGCCCATTTTGACTTCTGTGACCCTGAGACATCATAGCACCCCCTGGACTCCAGTGGATCTGCTGCAGGATTAGCAGAGACATTTCGGTCTGGCTGTCAGTTTGTCTTTCTTGTACCTGCATCATGGGACCTGCTATACTCAGCCTAGATTCAGCTCGGGGTGTGTTTGTGTATGAGTGATGTGTGTGCTTGGGTGTGATGTATGTATGTGTGCAGTATGTTTGTGTATACATTATGTGTGTATGTGGTGTGTTTGTCTAGTATGTGTGTGTACATGTGTGTGGTGTTGGGGGCTCTCTGAGGGATAGCACTTACGGCATCGCAGCCGTCAGCATCTCTAGGTATATGAGGTTTGTACACTGATGAATATAGGGAGTCCACCACACTGTGCTGGAGTCAGGGAACTGCTCCTCTTGGCCAGACTCACAACTGTGTCTAGTGGAAATGCATTGCTGAGCTAGTCAGGGACATGCAGCAGTTTGGGACAGGAACCAGGTGGCAGGATTGCTCTGATGGGTTGTGTGACTTTGGGACAGGTCTGGCCTTCTCTAGGCTTTACCTTCTAGGCTGTTCCTGTATTGATTGGACCAATGGGGCTAATGTTCCTTGATTGGTGGTTGAACCGGTCTGGACGCTGAGGTTCTAGGCCCTGTTCCAGGAATGCACCTCTGTCACTGACCAGTAAGATACAACGAGGTCTCTTAGATCTGGGTTATGGTGTAGTGCCAAGGGGCACCCCTACTTTACTGCCTCAGGATCATTTCAAGGACACCGTGTCTGTCTTAGAGTCACAAGGGGACTTAGCAGGAGTTCTCAAGAAGGGCTCACCGGTGGCCTCTGCCCTTTGGAGAGAAATCTGAGGAAGGGGAGCCCCTTTCCCAGGCTCTTAGCACCTCCCACCTCCTGGCTCAGGGCTCTCCTGGGGCTGCATGAACTTTAGTCACCTGGTGACTAGTCTAATCACTGCCTCCTTGCTGCCCTGACGTCAACACTGACCGTCCTCCCAGCCTGGCTGGACCTCTATTCCTATTCTCTATTCTACACTCCACTCAGAGGCCTCCAGCTGCCCTTCTGGGATGCTGGGCACTCCTTAGCTGACCTCTTGCCCCTCTGGGATTAGGTAAGCACTCCCATTCCTACCTCTGCCCTGAGGAGATGCTCAGCCTCAGATCCTGATACCAAGTCAGGGTCGGGGGCACTGAGCTGTTCTACAAGGCTGATAGGCATGGCTCTGACTGCTTCTGGAAGTGGGCGCAGGGGGTGGGGGCGATACAATCAGTTCTATGGCCAGGATTTCCTGGGTAGATCCATTAACTTCTTCCTTCCCATCCTAGAACTGTTCTCTGAGGAAGAGGGGGCTCTCTGCTGGGTCCCCACTGCCTCCAGGGCTGGCTATACAGAGAGAGGAGTCTTGGTTTGAGGAGCAATGCCTCAGTTTCCCTCCCAACATGGATTTGGGTGGCACCGTGGCTTCTGGCCTTACATATTCCGTTACTGAATCTTTGAGAAAACTTGGGGTGGGGGGCTGGGAAATGGAAGCCCAGGCTTCCAGCAGGGTGTCTTCCGCTTGGACTAGAACATCTGCTAGCAGGAGGCTGAGCCGGCCCTCCCTGTCACGCTGTCCCAGGAGGAAGGGACAGGGATCAGGGGTCAAGGCTGCCCACTTCCTTCCCCAGACTCTTTGGAAGAGGGAATCCTGCTGGGTGCCCTTATAGGGTTGTTCAGTGGACAGACAGATGGATGGGTGGACAAGGAAGGGTGACTCGTGTAATATGGGAGCCACAGATGGCTCTCATCTCAGGGCCCCAAGACTGCTTTCAGTTTACATCCCCAAACCTGGGAGAAAAGAAGCCCAATATACCCCAATTGGCCCAGAGCTGCATGAGGCCATGCCCATTCCCTACCCTACTACACAGACGGGAGCATGCTGTACTAACAATGAACGATACCACGCATTGCCAGTCTGGCTCCTAAGGCCCCTTGAGACTGCAATGTGACTTTCTCACCAGGAATCAATCCTAGACTCTGGTCTAGGCTCACCCCAAGGCCCAGGGTATGTGCCCAGATGGCTGTTAGGTCTGGAGAAGCGTATAGACTGTCCCTTGGACAACAAGGACAGGGCCTGGTAGCCACGATGGATAGAAGGAACCCTCCAGCTGCCTTCTGGAGGAACAAGCTGGCCAGAGGAATTATAGGAATGAGACTGACTTCAGGTCAGATCCATGCCTGGATTCAGGCAGGGAGAGCTACCAGGGACACTACTGGGGGACACAGAGTGGCATCCCCTCTGCCCTGGGGCTGTTCCCCCCACCCCCCTGCTTTAAGAGTTGTAAATCTACTTCCCCACGTGAGATGAGACACCAAATCCTGTTACATCACTCACCACCAAATCCTCCAAGCCAGGGGAGGGGAGCTTTTCCACTACAGAGTCAGTAATTTTCTCTTTGGATGTGGGGAGGGGACAAGAACTCCATTCCTAGACCATGGGATACCCTGTCTGATCCTGAACTTGAGTGCTCTGAACAAGGACAGAGAGAAGCAGAGTGGGAGGCAGCCTGGGACTTCCTGGGAAGGCTCTCTATGGATGCCACCCTTTGGAGGAAATGGAGTCTGGGAGAAGGGCACCCCACACCTTCATCAATGCGTTTCTCCCTCTTGTTGAGTTACAGCCTCTCCACTGGCCTCAGAGTAAGGCTGGGGGCTTTCCTTCTCTGTGTGGTCTGGAAGGAAATACTCAAGGGAAACAGCTAAGAGGCACACCTTTTTTTTTTTTTTTTAAAGATTTATTTTCTGTGTATGAGTGTTTTGCTTGCATGCTTGTCTATGTACTATCTGCATGCTCGGTGCCCACAGAGACCAAAAGAGGGCATCAGATCTGACAACTCCCGTGTGGTTGCTGGGAATGGAATCTAGGTTCTCTGGAAGAGCAGCCTGTGAGTGCTCGTAACCACTGAGCCATCTGTCCACCTCCAACCTCTCCCCCACGTTTTGAGAGTATCTCACACTATAGCACAGGCTAGCCTAGAACTCACTAGGTAGCCAAGTTGGGCTCAAATCCCTGGCAATTCTTCAGCTTCTGCTTCCTGAGTGCTAGCATTACAGCTGTTAGCCACAATGCCCAGTTTAGCACTTCACATATTCTCATCCAAGTCATTCAAAAAACCCCCTGCCAAGTGAGAGCCACAACAGGCGAATACCAGCTTCAGTCCATTCAAGGGCCTAGACCCTCGAATCCCTTTGTTCAAATGCAGCTCTTCCTTCCAAATTCTGGGCTTCCACATGAATGCCCTGGCCCCTCCCTGCCCTGTTCTGTGACCCCGTCCCTGGGTAGTGCTTGAGAGAAGTCATGCATACATACAAGTGCTGGCAGCCTCTTTGGCTCCAGGGTTCAATGGGAGGCAGAGATCAGCCACAGGCAGAGGGAGGCTATCACATCAGGCTTTCCAGGAAGTGCTGGACCGGCTTCACGTGTAACTCTGTGACTTTCAGGTGTCTTAGGAGGTGGCCTGCTCCAGGAGTTTCAGGGAAGCCTTACTGGAGGTTTCTGTGGAGTGCAGGGCATTCCTGCCTATCTATATAGCTGTTTTCAGGCGCCACCTTCCAGGGAAGGTGTGGAGCTCTACTGTGCGGTAAGTCCTGACCTATGTAGCTAGTCTACTTATTTCAGAGACTGTTGGATGCCTCCTTGGAAGGCATGATAGATATCCAACCCCAAGCCACTCTAGGGGTCCACGGACAGGGCCAGGCCCTTGGCTAGGGTAGGGGACACAGAAGGAATGCGGTAAATCCTATCCTTCCTGGAGTTTATCTCAGGGCAGTAGCATCTCAGCTTCTGTAAGCAGGTCCCCAGGGCACATGGAGTCTGAAGGGTCTCCTTGGGAGGGTCTGTGCTGGGAATGCAGTCCATACAGGACGAGCTCTGAAAATAAACAGGATTTGTAATAGCAGAGGTGGGATCCAGAGCTTCCGGCAGAAGCAATGGCCTGGCCAAAGGTCTGGGGGCTGGACAGCCCACGCATGTTCTAGAAGGCTAAAAGGAGGCACAGGGCTGTGTCCCTGAGTTTGACTTTAGACTGTGCCCTGTGGGGGATGGTCTGGAAGTTCCCAAGGCTGGACCTGACCCTATTCCTTCTCCCTGGGCAACAGAGCCATGAAGAATCGGTTTGTGGTGCTGGGCCTGGTGGCCGTGGTTCTGGTATTTGTCATCATCAGCCTGTGCATCTGGCTGCCCTACACTTCTAGGAAGCCGGACCATGTGTACTCCAGGGCAGCAGTGGCCACAGACGCCAAGCGCTGTTCAGAGATTGGAAGGTAAGGCGCACTGGAAGACAGCAGCTAGTGAGCTTGGGAAAGACTCGTGTTCCCCATCTGGAAACTAGACAAAGTGTCTGATAGACAGGGAACTGCCCACCCTTTCCTTGGACTCTCTTGGTAGCCTCTGTCTAGTGGAGAAGGGACAAGGACTCTGATAGCAGGGTACTAATTTTCCCACAGCCTACTCGGGGCCCTCTTTTTCAGTATTGTCTCTGAAAAATGCTGCTATTCTATTTCCATTTTAGACTGTGATTTTTTTTATTAAAAAAAATTATGGCCATGCACTCACAGTGGCACACACCTTTAACCGCAGCACTTGGGAGGCAGAGACAGGCAGATCTCTGTGAATTCAAGGCCAGCCTGGTCCACAAAGTGAGTTCCAGGACAGCCAGGACTGTTACACAGAGAAACTCTGTCTCGGAAAGAAAAAATTATGTGTATGGGTGTTTTACCTGAGTGTATGTTTATGTACCACTGGCATGGCTGGTGCCCTCAGAGACCAGAAGAGAGCATTGGGTCCCCTGGAACTGGGGATTAAAGATAACTGAGAGCTGAGATGTCAGGCCTGGAGGTTGAAAATTGAATCCAGGTCCTCTGGACCAGAAGCCACCAAACCATCTCTCTAGCCTCCACCCATTTTAGATTTTTATCTCATTATATGTAAAAGTCAGTTCCCGTTTTGATACATAATCAGGAAAAATGTTATTAATAAAAAATAACCTCCCCTTTTCAATTAAATGATGTATATTTGTTTGCTTGGAAAAAGAGCATCTTCAAAAAACAAAAAGTTTGCTAGGCAGTGGTGGCACACACCTTTAATCCCAGCTCTCTGGAGGTAGAGGCAGGTGGATCTCTGCAAGTTTGAGGCCAGCCTGGTTTACATAGTGAGTTCAAGAGCTACATAGTGAGAGCCTGTTTCAGAATGTGTGCTGCTCTTCCAAAGAACCTGAGGTCCAGTTTCCTCACTCCAGGCAGCTCACGACTGCCTGTAACTTCAGTCCAAAGGATCTCTCTCTCAGATAAAACGAGTCCTTAAAAAAAGCCAATCCAAACCAAAAATTTCACCTGTCATCTCAGCCCTTGGGATAAGACCCTATCTCAATAATTAATAAACTAAAGCAAGTGAACGAGCAACGAAAAGAAAAACCTGGTCCGGCTGAACTCGGCCGCTCAGCTCACCTTTCCTCTCAGAAGGCTGAGGTTTGAGGCCAGTGTAGGCTCGCTCTTCTTTTGTCTTTCTTTGGGCGGGGTCACCAGAAAAGGTGGCAGGGTAGTTCTGAGAGGCTGGAAGCCCTCAGGCTCACACCTCCCACGTGCTGCCTGCAGGGACATGCTACAGGAAGGTGGCTCCGTGGTGGATGCAGCCATCGCAAGCCTGCTGTGCATGGGGCTCATAAATGCTCATAGCATGGGCATCGGGGGCGGCCTGTTCTTCACCATCTACAACAGCACCACACGTGAGTGTCCAGGGTGAGGAGGGTGAGGGGCTCAGTCCATCCCTCTTACATCAGAGTGACTTGGATTAGAGCAGCATAGCTGGGTGGCCGCTGGGCTCCCTTGACAGGAGGGGTTGGAGATAACCTGGCTGCCAACATGTTTCTTTTTATAGGGAAAGCCGAGGTTATCAATGCCCGTGAGGTAGCTCCCAGGCTGGCCAGCGTCAACATGTTCAACAGCTCGAGAGACTCTGAAGAAGGTGAGCCGTCATATGGGCCACAGGTGTGAATATGCACTCACAGGGCACACACACCTGTCTGAGGTCGGGGACAGCTCTGGGGCCATCGCACCCTCCTGCAATGAGTGGCTAATCACCATCGTGAGGACAGGGGTAGGGTCTTTTATTTCTTCTCAGCCCTGTGCGCATATGGAGAGGATAATCACCAAGGGGCCACAGAGGACCTGGGTTTGAGTCCTAGCACCAAACGGCGGCTTGCAACCACCTGTAAACTCCAGCCTAACGGGAATCTGATGCCCTTCTGATCCCCTCCTAGTCACGTACCAGGCCACGGTACATACACATGCATGCAGGCCAAGCATGCACACACATAAAAATAATCTCTTCTTTATTCTTTTTAAATAATTTATTTTATTTTCTGTGCATCGGTGCGATGGTGTCAGATCCCCTGGACTGCATTACAGACAGGTGTAAGCTGCCATGTGGGTGCTGGGGTAGGCGTGACACCCAGGAAGAAGATTCTTAGGCGATGCCCTCCTTCGTGTCTTCTTTGGATCCCTCCCCTCACAACTATCTTTGGATTCCCATTTATTGAGAAACTCAGGATTGTATAGCAATGAAATCTCTTGGGTATGAGAATGCTTATGGGCACTTACAGCTCACTGTTTAACCAGGGTCATCGGAACCCCTTACAGCACAGGGTGCTGTTCCTAAAGCCAGGTTACAAAGCAGAGAGGATTGTTGCTACTCATGACCAGGACAAGAGCCCTTGCACGTGGCAAGGAGAATTGAGCACATGGCAGAGTAATTTACATTGTGAAGAGGGCAGAGGGTAGAGTGCCCACCCCTCACCTCTGAGTCTGGCAAGACTCAGAGGTGTGGGGTAGGAATAGTCCTGTTGGCGTCTCAGGAAAGGTGGGAAAAGTTGAGTGACCCAGGAGGAGGGATGGAGATTAAGCCTCACAGAGACCCAGGGAGGTTGCCAGCAAGTGGCCTGAGAAGAGGGGATATGGTGTCGGAGGGAATGGCATAAATGGCTTGGGAACTTATAGGCTACATGAAGCTCCGGCCTCTTGTCTGATGGCTAACAGGACCCCTAAGGCTGCTGTGTAAGGAACAGGGAACCAGGGAAGACATATTAAGAAGTTACCCCAATAATCCAGGGTGGTTCGGTCATGGCTAAAAACACATAGATGAAATCAAGATCTATCAACTCTTTTGGACGATACGTGATTACAGGAAACCGGAATGACCCACCACAGTCCTTGGTCTGTACCTGAGTGGATATGATAGCCCTAAGAGAGACAGACAGAGATATTGGGGGATAGGTTTCAGTGGTTGTTTTGGGCATGTGAGGTCTGAAGCGCTTGCTTCCTGTGGGTAGGTGGATACTGGGATCTGATGAGGAGGGAAATGTTCCAAGAAAGAGGATAAACATGAGAGATGTCAGTAGAAGTTCAAGGCCAGAGCTGAGAGACATCACTGAGAAAGAGGTAATGTTTCAGGAAACAAAGTGGGTGATGAGGAGAAGGAAGACAGGCAGGCATCACATAGGTGGCTGAGGAGAGTCATAACCCAGCAAGACTTGAGCAGGATGCTGGGTCAGATAGCACCAGGGTCACCTGTGAGCTTCGTAGGCAGGGTGGTGTGAAACCAGAGAGAGAAGGACAGGAGTGGCTTGTGTATTTGTTGGTGTTTGTGGTACTGGGAATCAAACCCAAGGTATCATGCTTGCTTGACAAGTGTTCTCTCGTCTCTCACCAAGCTACTTCACCAACCCCCAAAGAAGATTGCCTTTTTTTGTTTGTTTTTGCTTTTTGAGACAGGGTTTCTCTGGATAGCTTTGGAGGCTGTCCTGGAACTCGCTCTGTAGACCAGACTGGCCTCATATGCACAGAGATCGGCCTGCCTCTCCCTCCCAAGTGCTGGGATTAAAGGTGTGCACCACCATTGACTGACTTGAAAATTGCTTTTAAGATGGGACGGATTGTGTGCTGGGTGACAGAGCTTCTGAGCTGTGTGGCAAACGTAGGGTGCGGCTTTTGGAAATGTGCTGGACTGCAAGGTGGGAGTGGGAAAAAGTCATCCCTGAACAGTAGCCTCAGTGTCTGCAATGGGCCCCGGTCACCTCAGTGGTGCAAGCAGGGGGTTGGACTTGGAGCAGGTGGCAGTCATGGCCGTACTTTAGTAGAAAAAGTGGTCTGGATCAGCTGTTTTCTTATAAAACCCAGGACCACCAGTGCTCGAGGGGGGGGGGCGGCCCTACCCACAATTGGCTGGGCCCTCCCACATCAATCACTAATTAAGAGAATGCCCTACAGCTGGATCTGACGGAGGCATTTTTCTCAGTTGAGGTTCCCTCCTCCCGGATGACTCCAGCTTGTGTCAAGTTGACTTAAAACTAGCTAGTACAAGGCTCTTGTCACAGAGCTGGCTCATCTCATTGCTGATCTTGCTTTGGTGTACTCTAGAGGAACCCAGGGATTGTTTGGGACAAGAATGACTGATGTAACTCAGACTGGGAGTTGGGAGGGGTCCAGCTTTCCGAAAGTCTTGCATACAGCCATAGCCTGATACAGGATCTCTCATTTGGAAGACACACCCACTCATCTGGGGCAGCACGCCTTCGTGCACAGCCACCTACTCCTTGTTCTATACCCTGTGAGAAGTATTTGGTCAACACTTATTGCCTGTGGAGCTCAGCTATGGTCTTTTTTTTTTTTTTTTTTTTTTTTTGGTTTTTTGAGACGGGGTTTCTCTGTGGCTTTTGGAGGCTGTCCTGTGTCCTGGAACTAGCTCTTGTAGACCAGGCTGGTCTCGAACTCACAGAGATCTGCCTGCCTCTGCCTCTCGAGTGCTGGGATTAAAGGCGTGCGCCACCAACTCCCGGCCTCAGCTATGGTCTTAAATGCTTCTTTGCCTGGGACGGGGACCTAGCTCAGTGGTGGAGCCCTAGTCTACTACTCAGGAGGTCCTGGGTTTGATCGTTAGCACTACCATAGCAACAAACCCCTTCCCTTCAAAGCTGCTCTAGACCCAGCATTTAAAGGGCCAGGGAAAGTGCCTGGAATTCTGCAGCTTTTTTTTTTTTTTTTTTTTTTTACATGGATCTGGGAACAAACAAGAACCAGATAGGCACTCTACCAGAGTAACCATGCCAGCCCTTTGTTCATTTTTTTTTAATTTGTTTTTTTAAAAATACTTATTTATGCCAGGCATTGGTGGCGCATGCCTTTAATCCCAGCACTCGGGAGTCAGAGGCAGGCGGATCTCTGTGAGTTCAAGGCCAGCCTGGTTTCCAGAGCAAGTGCCAGGATAGGCTCCAAAGCTACACAGAGAAACCCTGTCTCGAAAAACCAAAAATAAATAAATAAATAAATAAATAAATAAATAAATTAGTAATTTATTTATTATAGAGTGTTCTGTCTGCACATATCCCAGCACACCAGAAGAGGGCACCATGTGGGTGCTGAAAATTGAACTCAGGACCTCTGGAAGAGCAGTCAGTGCTTCTAATCTCTGAGCCATCTCTCCAGCCCTTAATTTGTTTTTTTGAGACAGATTTCTCTGTGTTTCTCCAGCTGTCCTGGAACCAGCTCTGTAGACCAGGCTGGCCTTGAACTCTCGAGATCCACCTGCTTCAGCCTTCTAGTAGCAGGGATTATGATAACAATGCCCAGACCTCAGTCTTCTCTCTCTCTCTCTCTCTCTCTCTCTCTCTCTCTCTCTGTTCCTGGTTCCTAGGTGGCCTTTCAGTGGCAGTTCCTGGTGAAATCCGTGGCTACCAGCTAGCACACCAACGGCATGGGCGACTACCCTGGGCTCGCCTCTTCCAGCCCAGCATTGAGCTGGCCCGCCATGGCTTCCCTGTGGGCAAGAGCTTGGGAATGGCCCTGGAGAAAAAACGAGAAGTCATTGAGCAGACACCTGCCTTGTGGTGAGCAGTCTCATGTCTAAGTAGCCCAACCTGGGAGGGGCTGGTGGAGCTGTGTTCTCTGCTTTTGGGAGCCTGCCATTTCCTCAGGTTAAAGTTGTTAAACTAACCATTGTGTGTGTGTGTGTGTGTGTGTGTGTGTGTGTGTGTGTGTGAGAGAGAGAGAGAGAGAGAGAGAGAGAGAGAGAGAGAGAGAGAGAGAATGTGGACACATTTAGTTTAGAAGCCACAGTGCTGACTGTGGCCTGAGCAAGATGGGACACTAGAAACCCCAAGTGAGAGGACAGGCCACTCGGGATAGGTGAGAGGTATGACAGGTCCAGTTTTCCGAATCTGATACCTGACATGAGTCCTCTCTGCCCCAGCGAGGTGTTCTGCCGGCAAGGAAAGGTGCTTCGGGAAGGAGAGATAGTGACTATGCCAAGGCTGGCAAATACGTTGCAGGTACTGGCCCAGGAAGGTGCCCAGGCCTTCTACAATGGGAGCCTCACAGCCCAGATTGTGAAGGACATTCAGGAGGCTGGTAAGTGGGTTTGAGTAAGCAGGAACACTGAGTGGGGCCCAGGCTGGCCTCGGGGTCCCCAGGGAGCACTTGGCAGGGGAAGGTCGGTGTGGACTACTCAGATCCATAGTTCCTGGCTCATCCATAGAGCCTGGGCTGCACAGGAAAGTCCCTAGAGTGTGAGTAGGGGTCTGTAGTGATATCTTTCTTGCACAAATAAAGCCTGTGTGGGGGTCTGAGAATGGAGTTTGCCACTAGCTAACCACAGAGGTCTGGAAGTCTGTACGGATAGGCAGGAAGTAACGTAGCAAGGCAGAAACAGGATACAAGCAGGTAGATACAGGAAATTGCTCTCTTCTCTCCTGAGATGCATAAGAGTATCCAAAGGTTGGACGACATTGAAATAAGTCAGACCACTGCTTCAGTATCCTTGGACTTGCTTTGGTGGTACACCTACCACACCTGCTGGCCAAACAGTGTTTTATTCATCAACCAATAAGAGAAACATATATACAGAAGGCCATCCCCCATCAGGGGTCTAGTAGCCCTTAGGGCTGAGAAGGAGTTAGAGGCTGAGGATCTGGGATCGTGACCTGTGAGAAATGAGCTGCAATGGCCGTCAGGGGAAGAAGGAAGGTTTGACTCCCTGGGAGGGTTACAAGGTCTGAGGAAGAATTTGTGAGAGGAGTTTTGGGGGCTTTGGTCGGGGCAGCCCAAGGGCTTGGCTGTGGCTTTGTTTGTGTTAACTTTTGTCCTGTTTCATTATCATATTGACATTGACTGCTGTAAATCCTACTCAGATCCAATTCCTCAGAGAACCAAGTCTTCTTCTGTCCATACATTCATCAGTGAGGGAGGGGCCTGGTAAGGGGAGGAGGATGGAAGCAGGTAGGCTACACTTGGGAGAGAGACCCTCTGGCTGCAGAGATGAAAGAAGTTTGGCCAAGAGGCTGTTGTTTGGGCCTGGCACAGATGGTAAGCACCGTTAGTGCCTAGGGCTCCCAGTGATGGTCAGGGTTAGCAACTAATGGTCCTGAGGCCCCTTCTGATGGTATAGACCATTTTCTCACTATGGCGACTCACCTCCTTCTTAAACAACCCTGACTTCATAAGTGTACCCTTGGCCATATTTCTTAACTTCACCCTGTACTCTGCCCAGTGCTAACCAAGTCTCCCAGGCTGCAGCCCTGTCCTCAAGCACAGTACAATCCCACTGAGCTGCTGTCTCATGGCAGGAGGCATTATGACAGCTGAGGACCTGAATAACTACCGTGCTGAGCTGATTGAAGATCCGATGAGCGTCAGCCTTGGGGACTTGACACTGTATGTGCCCAGTGCCCCACTCAGCGGGCCAGTCCTGGTTCTCATCTTGAATATCCTCAAAGGTAAGAGAGCTCCCTCCAGCCCTGCTGAGGAAGGAGAAGGAGCACTCTCTTCAGGAGCATTCTGCTGGTGCTCCATATTTGCTGTGTCTCTTTGCCCTGTATCTTTCCATCAGTGAACTGGTCCAGTGTCCACCCTACCTGTGGCTTGTGACCTCCTGGAGGCAATGTTGAGTGCAAGAGCTCCCCCTGGCTGGTTGGAGGGGGTGACAGTCACTGGAAGAGGAAAAATGTTCAGAAAGGAGAGTGAGGCAGAGGCCTTGTCCAGTGTTTCTAGCTAGTCTAAGTGGTCATCCAGAAACCTGTAGACCATGGGACCCTCTAGCTGTGCCTGTCACGACCATGTTGGTATACCCTTTTTAACTGCGTCTTTCTCAAATGGCCATGTGTTGGTTATTGCGGATTTCTTCTCCTAAGGCAGAGTATAGGGAACATAGTTTAGAGATATAGTAACCCCTTGAGCCCCTCCAGGCCACAATTGCCTGCCAATGTGTGCTTGGGTATCACTCAGGATACAACTTCTCTCCGAAGAGTGTGGCAACTCCCGAGCAGAAGGCACTGACGTATCACCGTATCGTGGAGGCCTTTCGGTTTGCCTATGCCAAGAGGACCCTGCTTGGTGATCCAAAGTTTGTCAGTGTGTCTCAGGTAAGGGGCTACCCCACAGTGGGTGGGAGACCTGCCAGAGAGGTGCTGGGTGAGCTCTGAAAAGCATACCCCAGCTTCATGTGTGCTTTCTGAACCCATCAATAATTCAGGATAGACTTGTTTCCCTATACCCTGACCTCAGTTTTGTGGAGCTCATAGTGCAAGGGAAACTGAGGAAAGCAGACTTGAGAATGGATAATAGGTGTGTTGTTCTCCCCCGCTCCAAGCCCTCCTCCACCCCTGAAACCCAGGCTCCTGTCTCAGATCCTTTACACACACTTGGGCCCTTGGCCTGGAAGATTCTAGAATGCTCAGTGCAGAAGGGAGGAATGGATGGAGAGGTTATATCCCGCAGGAATGATGAAGGGGTATGGGAGGGATTAAGACCAGGTGGACAGAGAGCCTCACTCTGTAGTCCAAAGTGGCTTCAACCTCAGCCTCTTAGTACTGGGGTTACAGGCATGAGCCACCAAGCCCAGTCCCACTTTCTTTCATTTTGTAAAGATGTACCCACAGACAAAGCAATCTAAAACACCAGTGTGCACCTGTGTTTTCTGGAGCCCCTACTTGATTGTGAGCATTTTTCTAGAAGTCTTTTCCCTTCTCTTTACCTCCTCCTTTCCTAACCCCATCCATATTTCCTGAACGGGTCAACACCCCACAGTCCAGGGTGTATTCATCTCACATCAAGGTCACATGGTTCATTCTCTGCCAGTGGTGGAACCCCCACCCCAGGGTTTCAGTATCTTCTAGGTGCAATATTCATCAAATCACACCTTACAATTTTCCATGGTGCCTTTTTTTTCTGGGAGGGGGGTGTTGAGACAGGGTTTCTCTGTGGCTTTGGAGGCTGTCCTGGAACTAGCTCTTGTAGACCAGGCTGGTCTTGAACTCACAGAGATCTGCCAGCCTCTGCCTTCTGAGTGCTGGAATTCAAAGCATGCCCTGTGAGGCCATAGGTTTATTTGATGCCAGTGAGAGTGTGGTGGGGTCTGAAGAGAAAAGAGACGATTTGAGACTTCTTGGACAAGAATGTTTTAGGGCTATTGTGGAGGGTATCTTGCATGCTGAGGAAGGGATCTTGTTAATGTATGATTTAGATGATATGATGGGCCTGGAGGAGGGGTGCAGTTAGTTAAGAGGGACCCATTATGCGAGTAGCCCTAGGATGTTCCTGTGTTTGTCAGCCTGGGGTCTGTACATTGTCACTGGGGGAGTGAGAATGGCACTTGCCATTTTGGAACCCAGGGAACTGGGGAGTACCTTAGAGTTACAGAGTCACAGGCTGGTGGGGTGTCTGCCTTGCCCTGTAGCAACAGGGACCCCAGAATCAGCTAGTGGGTGGAGCTAGAAAAGACAACAGGGCGGCCTTAACTGAATATGGGCTGGGATTTAGCATTTCATTCCTGGAGTTGGGATATTTTGGGAGCCTATTACAGATGTACAGACAGACTCTTTTTTTAATTTTAATTTTTAATTTATTTTTTACATTCCAATCCCAGTCCTCCCTCCCTCCACTCCTCATGCTACTCCCTCCTTCCCCCCATCCCACCTCCCATCTGCTCCTCAGAGAGGGCAAGATCTCCCCCAGGGTGTCAAGTAAGTCTGTCCCAACAAGGTGATTCGTCAATAGCTGTGAGGGTAGGAAGGAAGGAAAAGGCTGCTGCAGGGGAATGGCTTAATTGGCCTTTATACTAAACCTGACAGGTCCCTGAAAGGGTCCCTTTCTTTCTGGTGGAACCATTAATTGCCTCTTCCTCCCCGTCTTCTCTTGCCATCAGCCTTCATAGCCATCGTGTGCCCATGCTGTGTCTGTGCCTTTGTTTCCCTGTAAATTTCACACATGAACCTGTATTCATGGGCCCATCCTCTCAAGCCATGTTCTTCATTGTGTCATGGGTGTGTGTCCCAAAGCAAGCAAGTCCTTAACTGCTCCTCCTTCTGCTCCCTCTTTAACATTGACTTTCCCAGTTAAAGGCAACTCCAGGCCAAAGACCTCAAGGACATCCTCTGTTCTTTTTCTCCCACCCACACTGACATCTTTATCTTTAATCTGGTTGTCCAGAGCCTTTTCCACGGCCCCCAGGGGGACCCTATGTAAATATTTCCCAGCCTGCTTACTCCTCTACCCTAAGCATCTATGTGACTCATAGCAAAAGCCGAAGTCCCTTTTTATAGACCAATGAGACCTTACAGAATGGATGCATGCTAGCCAGCATCCTCTTCCCGCCTCCCATTCACTCTTTGTTATCCAGGGCCTTTGCACTTACCATTTAGGGCTTCATTATGAGCTCTTTTTAGGTACCACTTCCACCAAAATGCCTTCAGCATTTCCTTTTCCTTCCCTGTTTTCGGGCCTCTTGTTTCCAGGACTCTCCCTGCCTGTTAGGGAGGCAAGACCCATGGGTCTCTTCCCTGTTGGTTCCTCAGCTCTGAAGACATGGCCCAAGTTCCATAAATAATTGCACAAATTATGTAAGATGATGGCAAGAGTCCAGAGGTTTGATGGATGGGCAGACACCAGCTGGAGGTTAGAGAGGGAGTGTCAGACAGGGTTTAGAAAGGGCTGTCCCTGGTCCTGGTGTGTGTGTGTGTGTGTGTGTGTGTGTGTGTGTGTGTCCTGGTTTAGCATAGAGGTAAGTTGTGGTCAGATCCAAGGCTGGGGCTTCTTCAGAATTCCTGGGACAGCCCTGTTGTACTGCCTTCCCCCTCCTGCCCCTAACCTCCTCAGGCCAGCTCTGGGGTCTCGGCAGGTGATCCGCAACATGAGCTCCGAGTTCTTTGCTGCTCAGCTTCAAGCCCGTATCTCCGATGGAACCACTCATCCAACCTCCTACTATGATCCTGAATTCTACAGTCCTCATGACGGGGGCACTGCTCACCTGTCTGTGGTTTCGGAGGATGGCAGTGCTGTGTCTGCCACCAGCACCATCAACCTCTAGTAGGGGCTGCGGGACATGAGCAGTGGGTTGGGGGCTATCTTCCTTTCCTATGAATGGGAAACAGGCTCCTCCCCCTTGGTTGCATGCCTGGGGTGGGCCTCCTAGGGAGTCCTCTTGGCCTGAGGTGGGTGGGCGCGAGGTGGGGAATGGCTGGGTTTTGTGTATATTGTTCTCTGAGATGGCCTATCTTCAGTTTTGGCTCCAAGGTCCTTTCTCGGGACAGTGGGATCCTGTTTAATAACGAGATGGATGACTTCAGCTCACCCAACTTCATCAACCAGTTTGGGGTACCCCCCTCACCAGCCAACTTCATCAGTCCAGGTGCGGGGCGGGAATCCTGGGGTAAAGGACTTGAGTTGGGAGGGGGCTGGTACCCTGACAGGCAACTGACCTGTCTCTCTGTCTCCTCCTGTGGACCACAGGGAAGCAGCCACTTTCATCTATGTGCCCCTCAATCATTGTGGACAAGGACGGCAAGGTGCAGCTGGTGGTGGGAGCCTCGGGAGGGACGCAGATCACCACATCCACCGCACTGGTATACGCGTCTTGCCTAACCCTTCCTGCCTCCATCTCTCTCTGCCCTTGCTCCGGGGGCTGTGCTGACATCTTGGCTATCCTTTCCCGCCAGGCCATCATCAACAACCTGTGGTTTGGCTATGACGTGAAGAGAGCAGTGGAAGAGCCCCGACTGCACAACCAGCTTTTGCCCAACACCACAACTATAGAGAAAGACATTGATCCGGTAGGCAGAAAGCAGGGGGGATTAGAGGATATCCTTGACTGGGGGGGATTAGCATCTTTTGAGTCACCAGAGCCAAGAGTGGCTGCTATCCCCTGTCCAAAGCCCTCAGCGTGGGTCATCGTGAGCCCTTGTCAGTGACAGCCAAACAGACTGTTCCCAGCAGACCTTAGAAGCCCAGGTGCCTCTCTAGTCCTCCCTTCTCACTTGACCAGAAGCCCCGCTAACAGGAAGTAGCACGAACTGGGTTTGTGAGGCCCATGACCACACACACACAGGGATGGTTTCAGCCACATCCATGGCCTTGCTGAGACACCTTCGGCCCTCTCACCCCACAGGCGGTGGTTGCAGGCCTGAAGGAACGGAACCACTACACAGAGGTCACACCCACCTATATCGCTGTGGTTCAGGCCGTTGCGCGAACATCCAGGGGTTGGGCGGCTGCCTCAGACTCCAGGAAAGGCGGGGAGCCAGCAGGCTACTGAGCGCTCAGAAGGGGCAAGACAGACCTGCCATCCAGAGACGAGACACTGACCGGGAACAGGAGTGGGACTTTGGAGGACATGCTGTCCCTGAGTGGGACCGAGCGAGCAGCAGAATAAATGGGATCAGCTGCCAAGCTCCGGGAAGTCTTGCTGGTTGGACTTCTCACATCTCAGGCTTTAGTGTCGTGTTATGAAATGAAGCCATCTGGCTGGGAGAATGATGAGGAAGGATCCTAAGATTCACTGCTGTCAGTGATGGAGCTAACCTCCATCCACCTTTAAGTGCGGGGGAGCCCCAGTGTGTCTGGGAGTTGAGGGCCTCATAGTAAATTGTCCTAGGCAGTAACACTTCCCAATGTCTGCCACTAGAGGGCGCCCCGACCACGCCGCTAACTGGGATAAAGCAACCCCTTAGCTGCGGGGACCTTGAGAAGGGGTTCACATTCAGGGTGGGTGTGGGCTCTCATTGCCCAGCACTTATGGAGGTGAAACTGAAGGGGAGTGAACTAGACAAGAGGCAGAAACAAGGCAGCTTGGCCAGAGCCATGCCTTGACGTCACTTTCCAAGTACAGACCCAGAATGAAATCCAAAGAGGTCCAGTTCTCAACGAACACAGCTCAGCAAGGAAACCCACAGACCCATGAGGGGAACACAGAAGAGCACAGTTAGGCACAACATCCCTCCTTGCCTTAGTCAGGGCTACTACTACTGTGACGAAATGCCATAACCAAAGCAACTTGAGGAGGAACAGGTTTATTTGGCTTACACTTCCACATCACAGTTCATCGTCAAAGGAAGTCAGGACAGGAACTCAGAGAAGGAACCTGGAGGGCAGGAGCTGATTCAGAGGCCATGGAGGGTGCTGCTTACTGATTGCTCCCCATGGCTTGCTCAGCCTGCTTTCTTATAGAACCCAGGGCCTTCTGCACCAGGAAGTTCCCACCTACAATGGGTTGGGCCTTCCCCCATCAATCACTAATTAAGAAAATGCCCTACAGGCTTGCCTACAGCCTGATCTTAAGGAGGCTCTTTCTCAGATGGGGCTCCCTCTCCAATGACTCTAGCCCCTCCCGGATGCGCCAAGGTCTGTAGAACTCCCAGCTATGAACATGAAGTCAGGAGACACTGAAGACATATAGAAGTGGGCCGTTGGGGCACTCACAGCCTAAGAGCTAAATATTGCCCCTAGAAGTGAGCACAAGTTGTAGTTCCTGAGGGGAGGGGCCCAGTGGCTGGAGGAGGGACCCAGGAAGTTAAAAGTCCTGGTGCTTCCAACCTGCCCTCGGGAAAGCTGGGTTCTGTAACATATCTGAGCCCTCAGGGTCTCTGTCTCTGGGGTTCCCTGGGGAAGACAAGCTGGACCATGAGGGGGTGGCAGTCATTCCTCCATCCATAATTGCAGGGGAGAAGGCAGGCCAGTGTGTTGAGGTGTCATGTGTCACAGTGTTCCATGCCCCATGGGACTGGCCAGAGAGTTCTGTGAACTCAGGATGCTGGATGTAAACCTCACTTTTCCAGAACTTCTTCAGGGACTTGGAGACTTGAGTGGCCTCTCCATCCTGTCCTTTCCCCATGACGTCCTGGATAAAGGCTTCAGAGCCAGCAGAACAGGCTCTCCCCAACCCCCCACCAAGTCTAGTATGATATGAGCCCTTTGAGAATTCGCAGAGCTGTCTCTTCGCTCTGGCCTATGCCTGACCAGGATGGGAGGGAAGATAAGCTGCCCTTGAGCCTGCTCGTCCCCTACTGCTTCGTCTTTAAAGCTTGAGGGCTGTGACCAGTGGGTGGGCTGGCCCACACCCAGGAATGTGCTCTGGCTCCTGGCTGAGCAATAACATGGCAATGTGGGTAACGGAATAAGGAAGATTCCCACAGACACTACCCACCCTCTAGGCAAACGTGGGAATGGCTTACAGGAAATGGTCTCTCTGGCCCACGCTGAGCAGGGTGTCTGGACATGACACTTAACAGACTAGGTGGGTCAGTGCAGACATTCTCTGGCCCTCATTGTTTAAGACTTATTTATTATGTATACAGTGTTCTGCCTGCAGAGGGCACCAGATGTCATTTCAGATGGTTACAGATGGTTGTGAGCCACCATGTAGTCCTCTCAAAGAGCAGCCAGTGTTCTTAACCACTGAGCCATCTCTCCAGCCCTCTCTGGGCCTCATTTTTGGGTGGTGTCAAGCAGGGGGTATGGAGATTGGAGGGCCATGCTCAGTGGAAAGAGAGAGGGAGGGAGGCTGGGAAGGTACTGAGATTCTGAGAGTCCACAGGGCTCTTCTGCCCTTCAAGCCTACTAAGTCTGTTTAAGGGAGCACCTCAGTGGGGCCTCTCTCTCCAGATGCCTCCCACTTGAACATCCTGAGGCCAGGGAAAGTCAGGCCCCCCAAAGGGGAGGCTCACCAGCCCTAAGGACCACCGGACCCAGACAGGCAGGCTAGTAGCCAGTGGGGCTCTGAGCTGCAGAAGTGAGGGTACCCAGGCAGGACAGCCTCATCCACTAGAGGTCTAAGGTTGTAATTCTGGGTCACCATGTCCTAGGGTGAATGAGCAGTGGCACCAGGGTGGGGACAGGGGTTAGACGTGTGGCCCATCTGCTCTTCTCCTTCCTAGGCATGGGCGCCACTGTGCCAGGCTGTGGTAAATGGTCCTGAGTGGCTGCCTTGGTCCACTTCAGCCCCATCCCTATACCATGTGGGTGCCTAGATTGAGCTGCTGCCTAGATGGAACCAGCTGAGGGTGCGGGACTGGGGAATAAGGAGCTCGACCCTGCAGGAGACACCCTGACCCTGAGCTGTTGGGAACCAGAGAAGTGGCAGGGAGAGACTCCATGAGCCCTGTGCCACAGTTCTCCTGGGTACAGCAAGCATCACATTGCCCATGGCACTGGGATGAGGAGCCCCTGGGTGGCCTTGGGCCATCAGGAAAGACCATGGGATCGACTGGCAGTGAAAGAGTTAACAGCAGGAGCCTGCCCTTCTCTTCAAGAAAAAAAAAAAAAAAAAAAAAAAAAAAAAAAAAAAAGAACTCCCTGTAGATGCCTGGCCTGCCTCGGGGCCAAGCTGTAGGAGCTAAAAACTGGAAGTTCAGACCTGTGGCCAGATCTGCCTCTGTAGCAAGCATTGGAGGAGCCTGGCTGCTGTGTCTGTCCGTCTGCCCGTCTGTCTGTCTGTCCTCTGTCTCTCTCTGTAAACCCATCTGGCTGGCTGGCAGGCTTCCTGCTGGTCCTCTGTAAACCTGCCTGCCTACCTATCTGTAAGCCTATCTATTATCTTTTCTATCCAGCTGTCTGGCCTGTGTGATAATTTATCTCTGAACCCATTGCCATTTTTTCCCCCATCTGTCCGATCATCTGAGTTTACCTGTATAGTTTCTTTTCCATCCATCTGCCAGTCAGTTTGTTTCTCTTGACTGTCCACCGCCCTGTGTGCCCACCTGCCTCCCCTCCCGTCTCTCCTTGGACATCTGAGCCATGGCCTGGAGTCACAGGACCACAGTCTGCCTGGTCCTGCTAGGTCTTGGTTTGGGTCTGGCCGGCATTGTGTTGGCTGTGGCCCTTTCTCATCGGCATGCCTCTTGCGGCCCCGAGGCCTTCGCACATGGTGCCGTGGCTGCTGACTCCAAGATCTGCTCAGATATTGGACGGTGAGTAAGAGGTGGGTATGAGCTTGGTGGCTGTTGGTAGCTGGCTGCTTCTGGAGACTGTGTGACTGTGGTAGGGGTATGAAGAGGACATGTGAGTGCCAAGCTGGCTGTGAGGTAAGGGCCTTGTGTGTTTGGCTTCCTATGTCAGCCCCAGGACCCTTGCATAGAACACTATAGGTGTGTCCATAGGGAAGATGGGGACAGTGTTGCAAAGACAGTGTAACTCTATTGCTCAAGAAGGCCACCTGGGCAATGCTGGTTGGAAAGGCAGACTAAATAAGACCTGCTACCTTGTCCCTGCCTGTTCTGGCTAAGGCTGGAATTTGCGGGGAGGGGTTGAGACAGGGTTTCTCTGTGTAGCTTTGGAGCCTGTCCTGGAACTGGCTTTGTAGACCAGGCTGGCCTCGAACTCACAGAGATCTGCCTGCCACTGTCTCCCGTGTACTGAGATTAAAGGCACGTGTCACCGCTGCCTGGCATTCAAGGCTGGAACAATTTCAGGGGCCTAGCCAACAGACTTCAGGGTTCCATATGTAGGTCCTGCCTTCCTGCCATACATAATGATTCCCAGGGCCAGGCTCCTTCTCCAAGTCTTTCAAAACACTCACACATACCCACACACACACACATACACACACAAACACTCTCATGCACGCATGCATGCACACACACTCACACAGGCATGTGCACACACACATACATACACACACCAGTGCCACACCTATGAGGACCTTCCTCTCCATGGCAGGGTCTGGCTTCAGTGAGTGGAGTAACTGATGATACCAGTCAGACTAGGAGGAAGACAGAATGACACAAGCCACAGTGGGAATTTCCCGACTCCAGGAAACCCAGCCCATGGAAGCTTCTGCTACCCACCATGCTGCCACAGGACCAGGCTGTGGCAGGAAGCCACTCAGAGTCCCCTGCCTCCCACTGGGCCCACAGAAACCTGGGTGAGCCTATTCATCCTTCCAGCCATCTGGGCCTCCTTCCTAGAATATTAGCCTGGTGGCCCACTGTGGGGTTCAAAGTGCTTTATACACCCAAGGCTGGGTTCCGCAACAGGGAGAATGGTGGTCTCCGTCCAAAATACCACTCCAGCAAGCTTTCTTTTACTGTTCTTGAATTCACCCACCCTTTATCCTTCCTTCCTTCTTCCCTCCCTTAACCCATCTATCTATGCATTCTTCCCTACCAACCCTGCTGACCTGGTCCTCTAAGTTCCCAGACTTCTGTCTCCTCCTTCACGTCTCCATTTAACTTGGCAGTAGCTGGGGACAGCAGCTTGGATCAGAAGAGGCTGTCCTTTCTACTCCACAGGGTATTCCCAAAGGAGGCAAGAGTTAAGACCAACTGCTGCTCTGTGCTATGGGAGGCTAGCGTGTATGTGAGTGTATGCGTGGGTGTATGTGTGTGTGTGTGTGTGTGGGTACCCGAACGCATGCGCACTCAGTCCTCACAGATAACCAGCCAGATGAGCAGCCCCCCGTGAACAAGGGGGGCTTCTACATATCTCTGAGGAAGATCTCCGAACAGGGCTTGGTCTAGGAGGGTTGGGCTGTGGTTGGTGCTTGGGGCCTGTACCCCCTTGCACTCAAAACTCTCCTTCAAGCTCTCCCCGATGGAAAGCGGATGTGGGTTCCCTCCAGTGTTTTCTCAAACAACTCTCCCTGCTTCCTGTTCTTGTTTTAAGAACCTAGGAGTGGGAGGGAGCCTCTGACCCCAGGACAGGTCAGGGACCATAGCTGGGCTAGGCCTCAGGAATGTGCCCCAGCTGCTGTGTCCCCTGGCCAAGCTTTCCATTTGACTTAGGTCTGCTCAAGGGAAGTGCCTGGCAAGTGTCACAGCAGGCAGTCTTAGAGGTTCTGGAGTTTTTCCCTTACTATTGTTACTGCTGCTCCTGCCAGGGTGGGAAGGTTGTGGGAGGGGCAGTCTTCCTAAAGTCCCTTCCCCCTCCCCTTCGACCCCAATCTGCCAGCCAGCCCTGGGCACATAATGGCTACAGCTTTATTTACCAAAATTGCAAAAGGTAGTGCTCCCTTAGGTTTCTGGGTAGCAAGTTTCTGGAGGGTTGCTGTCTGGACTGACACTGGACTGTAAATGCGAAGACAGTTCAACCCCAAGAGCTGAGTGTGGCCTGTTATTTCATGCCCACCTGGTGTCTGAGGAGATCAATAACACAGGCCAAGCTATAAAATCAAGTGAGCCTCAGTTTCCCCTCTGGGACACGGCATTTAGGCTAGCATGTCCTTCATGGGATGGCCGTGAGCACACAGGTGAGTTCACCCCCGACACTGGACATGTTCCTTTAGTAGCTCTGTATAGTGTCATCTGCCTGGCTTAATCTGGACATGGCCAACATCTGAGGGAAGAGTGGTGCCTGGCTCCTAATCCCTTCCTCCCAGGGCCGTGGCTGTAGTTTCTACTTTTCCTTCAAGCCTGACACTTGTTCTACGAAATTCATGTTCTCTCTATTCCTGGCCGCCTCATCAGGAAGTGACAGCCTTCCCTGACCACTGGGCCTCATGATGAAAATCCCTTGACACCTATGGATGGTTTGCAAGTATGCAAATTTCCGTGTGAGCCCACACATCTGATGAGCATGTCATGGAAGAGGTGGTGACAACAGCCTGCTGGTTCCTTGGGGACTCGATATGTATGATTATCCCACTGACAAAAACCGATCACATTTCTCATGGGAGAAAAGCCAGGCTCCAGAAGCAGAGTTCCCCCTAGCCTCTTGCAGCTGGCTAGTAGGAATATAGTGCTGCTCTAGAAGGGTTACTGCGGCCCCAGGCTCCCAGCTCATGCCCGTGGTTGGGGGCTGGAGATACGCGTGGGTAATTCATGGGCCCTTCTCTTACCCGCAACATCTAATACTTTCGTTTGTCATGTATCAAGTATGTGAGGGTGGATACATGGCTCAGCCGCACAGCTTTACCTAACAAACATGAGGTTCTGGGTTCCATTTCCATAATGGTAAAATAATATGTGAGGAATACCTCTAGTCTGTCATGGATTGGGGACACAACGGTAACCAAGAGGGACAGAACACCCACCCACCCCCAGCTGCCTTTGTGGAAGGAGATGCAAACAGTTCTGTAACTATGTTGGATGTTGGGTATGATCACTGTTTAGCTGGGGTTTCTGTTTTGTGAAAAATCTCTTCTGTCTCTGACTCTGTCTCTCTGTCTCTGTCTCCTCCCCTCCCCCTCCCTCTCCTCTCTCTTTTCTGTGTTGGTCAAGACAATCCACTTGGCTTAGTCAGCCCCAGGATTACCATTGTGAGCCGTCATGCCTGGCAGCATGGAGCACTTCTGCTACCCTGTTTCTGCCATTTTTTTTTGTTTTTGTTTTTTTTGTTTTTGTTTTTGTTTTTCAAGACAGGGTTTCTCTGTGTAGCTTTGGAGCCTATCCTGGCACTCTCTCTGGAGACCAGGCTGGCCTCGAACTCACAGAGATCCACCTGCCTCTGCCTCCCGAGTGCTGGGATTAAAGGCGTGT